GCAGAGCTCTACCTGGGCCGCCCAGAGCCTCGCTGCTTGAAACTCTGATTTTAAACACCTGCTCCGCCTGTCACCCTAAACCTTTACCCTTAAACCCTAAACCCTTAAACCCTAATCCCTAAACCCCGTGGGGGAACCTTTTTGCATCTTTGGAGCTCGAGGGTGTTCTTAGTCGCAAGCTCCCCGTCCACCCACTCCTAGGACCTAGGACCTAGGACCACTTGAAGGGTTGTAGGGTTTAGGATTTAGGGTTTAAGGTTTAGGATTTAGGGTTTGGGTTTTATGGTTTCAGGTTAGAACTTAGGGTTTAGGTTTTATAGTTTAAGGTTTAGGATTCAGGGTTTAGAGGGTCTATAGGGGTTTGTAAGACTGCCCTGCGCTTCCTACGGTTTGGCTGTACATTAGAAAATAGTGCGGGGTGCGCGAAGGCGCCTAAACCCTAAACCCTAAACTGGACTTTGCCCAGCCTGGTATTCAGCTGCAGCAACGGCCACTGTTAAGTTGCTTTACACTTTTGGGGATCCCGAGAAACCTACGCAAAAGGATGGGTTTAGGGTTTAGGATCTAGATTTTGTGGCCTGGGAAGGCAGGTCATCGTCTTCAGGAGTTGGCAGTTCTGTTTTTTTTTTGTTTGCGGCCCGGAGGCCGGCACCCTAAACCCCAAAACCCTAAACTACCCTTACCCCGTCATAGCCCCTTTGAGCCATGAACCTTGATTCCCTAGCTACAGTCCCCCTGAAGCAGATAGAAAATGGGATGTTTAGGCATTCAGGGTTTAGGGTGTTGGGTCCTGATATAGATAGACAATGGGTTATATGGGGATCACATTATGATATTCGGCAATTCCATATTCTATCTACTTAAGGGGGACTGTAAGTGGTAGTTGGGTTTTAGATGGTTTTTGGTAGCCTTCAAGGTACCGCTAAGTCAAGCGTGCATCCGCAAACACCAAGCCCTTGCCTACATCCGCCACAAGGCCGTAAATCTCAAGCCTCAAGGCCTGCGATACCGGAGTTTTCGACCATACCCCGTAGTGTCCTGTTTAGGATTTCGGGTTCGGATATTGCCCCCCTTCGCGACAGTTGGATAGCGGTGGCAGTCTAATCATACATGGCTCGCAGTCGTAGATGTAATACTATCCCGATTATGGACTGGTACTGGGTGGGGGAGTACTGAAGATACAGTTCGCAACACTAGCGCTCATGTATGTGTATATATATATCTGCATGTATCTATATATATATACACACACACTCTTGTATGTACATATGTGCATATATGTATATATGTATATGCATGTACAGCATGAAATGTAAGGGACTGGGAATCCTAAGCCTGATCTCAGCGTAATCTCTGTTTATCCCAAGATGCAGCGCTATGGAACCACACACGGGCGGTTGTCAAAATCATGGCCAATGCCTATCTTGGATAATCTGGAGTGCTGGAGACACAAAAAGACAACAGCTGTGACTCAAAATGATGGCTGTGTAAGGCTTGCATGACCACATGGCCACCAGAAGCACGCCATCATACTTGTAAGATCGGTGTAATGTAATGTAGAAGCCTGAAAATATCCAGTGTTATTCCTTGATCATCCTTGTAGAGATATATCATGTGCCAAAAACCTTATCTTGATTATATCACCCACAGATTATATGTTTTGCTCTTTGATTCTGCAATTTTCCTAAGTATTCCGTATATACTACATCCCAAAATTTACCTGCTAAACGTTTTAATACTATCCTCTTTCACAGTTCCCCTCGGAAAAAAAAAATCGGCCACTGAACCCTGAATCCAAAACCCGAAATCCTAAAGCCTGAAACTTACACCCTAGCCCTAAGCCCTAGATCCTATAACCTAAACCCTAAGCCCTAAACCCTAAATCCTAATCCTACACCCTAAGCCCTGAAACTCCGAACACCGAACACTTGACCTGCCACGGGATCCGTATCATATCCTTATTTAATCCCTTTGAAAGGTCCTTATCCTGATTAGGGTTTAGTCTTTAGTCTTCGGTCCATACATTAAATGCCGCAGGATGTAAATCGTAAATCCCAAACCCTCAAACCCCAACCCTGCCTTTTACAGTCCCGCATACTGTCATATATTGTATCGCCACAGGATGTGGGGCGCGAAGTCGCGCATCGCCGACGCGGCATGCGCTTCTTTGCCGCCGGTCGCGCGAGGCGTGCTCCAGCGCAAGACTTGGCCTCTGGTCAGGGTCATATAGGGTTTAGGGTGTAATTAGGGTTTAGGGTTTAGGGTGATTTTTTAGGGGTAATATAGGGACATATAGGGTTGAGGTTTTAAGGGTTATATAGAGTTAGTTATATGGGCTTGGTAAGGCTTTACTAACAGTTCAGCGCTCTATATACGTCAATTGGGTTCCTCCATTTCATATTATGGGAGCTACAAGTTGAACTTGTAGTGGGGGATTACACCCTAAACCCTAAACCCTAAACCTTAAACCCCAAACCCTAAACCGGCAGAAAATGGCTTTTGCAAAACAAAACCGAAAACAAGAGAGCCTCCAGGGAAGGACAGACGAAGAGGCTCAGCCCTGAGCTCCACTTGTCCCTACCTAAACACCACAAGTATGCAAAATAATGGCCTTTAGGGCTGTTATTTGGGTTTAGGGCCATTATTTTACATATTTTGGGTGTTTAGGTACGTACCCTCAGCTCGCCTTACATACGGCTCAATCCCCGAGGCACAAACTTGACATATCCCTGTAATGCATAGGGGTTAGGGGTTAGGGTTTAGGGTTTAGGGTATATATATATAAAAGCCTTGCTGCAATGGATTTAGGGCTGACTCAGGGTTCTAAGATTTTGAAGCCCTAAGCCCTAAACCCGAAGCCTTTGAGGTTGTGCGAAAGAGCGCATGCTAGCTACGTCTAAGGCTGGGCTCGCCTCCATCAGTACCTTCGCTATCAGTACGCGTTGCTCTTCCAAGGATTAGGGTTTAGGGCTTTTAGGGAGCTTGGGATTTAGGATTCCCAGATTCCCTGAAGGATGCCAAAAACGAGACCCCTCAGAATGACCCCACTACAACGTTGGTTCTGAAGGTTACACGGTTTAGGGTTGAGGGTTAAGGGTATTTAAGCCTCTGAAAGAGGATGCCGGTAGCCAAGGTCCCCCCTGAGGCTCTTTAGAAAAGTCTTAAATCCGTAGCCCGAGCCAAGCCCTTCTAAGAAGACCCCGCAACAACATTGGCCCAAAGCCCATAAACGTAGTCGAAAAGGCATTCGTGGAGGTCCAGGTAGTGGCCGGACAACAAGACCCGGCACTCTAAACCCGAAACCCCACACCTTCATCCCCACACCCTAAACCGTGAACCCTAAACCCTAGACCCTTAACCCCTGTACCCTAAACCCCAAACACTTAATCCTTGTACCCTATGCCCGTAATCCCTATACCCTAAACCCTCAATCCCTGTACCCTAGACCCTTAATCCTTGATCTCTTCATTCCGGTACCTTTAAACCCCTACCCCTGAGCCCCGAGGCCAGATGCCAAAAACTTGCTTAACTTTTAGATTTTGGTTTCAGGTTGAAGGTTTAGGGTTTAGGCTTATAACTAGGTACCCCAGTGGTACCCTTTTTCCTTTTTTGTTTTGGGGTCTCGTTATTCAAGCTGAATATTAGGAAAAGGGTACCCTTATTGGTAAGGGGTTACTGGGGCACCTAGTTAAACAACAAGCCGCAAGCCCCAAACCAGGCCATTGCTGAAACGAGGTTTAGGGTTTAGGGTTCAGGGTTTTCAACGTCTATGACTCTATGATATTGAAAAAGCCATTGAGGACGATAAGATTCTACTTTCAATGCTATCCCAAGAAGGAATCTTAAGCTTCAAACCCTAAAGAATAAGCCCCAAGCCTAAACCCTGAACCCTAGACCCTTGACCCTAAACTAAGCCATAAACCCAGAGCCCTACAGCCTAAACCCAAAGCCCTGAACCTTCAACTTGCGCAGGGATGGGAAGCGCTTCGCTTCGATTCTGTTTCCGAGCTTTCCCCAGCTGGAGTCAGGAGTACAACAGGGGCCTAATATGATTCTGAGGTCTATGTGATGTACCCTTTACCACAGTTATACTAGGTATCTAGGAGCAGAATATTTGTAATCATCTAGGCCTCTATGCTACAGCCGGTCGAACACTGAGCTGGTTGAGGGATTAGGGCTTAGAGTTCAGGGTTCCGGGTTGAGGGTTTAGGATTTCGGGGCCCCAAACCCTAGACCCTAAACCATTTAGGGTTGGGAGTAAGGCTCCCTGACTTGCACCCGTCCTTAAGGATATCTTCTGGGGATACCCATGCGGTCTTGCAATCCTATTGAGCAGGGAGGCAGTATTAAGGGTGGGTTGATAGAGGTCTTATGATACTTTTTCTTCCAAAACCCTTGGAAGGTCTCAGACAATCACATGATGCCTCTCTCTCTCTCTCTTTCTTTATCTCTTTCAATCTCACTTTCTCTCCCCTGAACTCGGTGGCACTACGCACGCATGCATGCGAGTAGCACTACTGAGTGCATTTTTGCGGGACATCCAGACTCCTTTGAGGGTTTACGGCTTCGTGTTTAGGAATTAGGGCTAGGCAAACATGCAAGACAACTGCCAAACCATGCCAAGAGCCTCAGAACAGCTGTGCAAAGAAGGATCATGATTGGTTCTTTTTCTCGATCTCGGCTGCTTCCGTCACCGTTGTTGAGCATGCAGTTCTACAACCATGTTCACGCCCTAGATGTTGATTGCTTTCATGGTTAAGGAGTCTTCAAATCTCAGGGTCATTCAGCCCTCCCTTCTCAATTCACCAAACTCTAAAGCTTGAATGTACAGGAACTGCGATGCCGGCATGAGTTTGACGCAAGTGGCATTGGTCCTGAACCCTAAACTCGCTAGACATGCTTCAGCCAACCAAGAACTCTATGATCCTACGATACAGTGCCTCCAAGCCATGAAGGCCGCGGATTTTCTAGATGTCACGGCCGGTGGAGTTGCCACCTAGGCTGTTCCAATCAGACCCCAACAAGGAGGTTTATGAGGAGGCGCGCAGTGTTTGGGATGAATCTTCAGGATGAGAGTGCAAAGAAGTGTCTTGGTGCAAGGTAGTCCTAAGCCCCAAAGCCCTAACTTTTCTGGGTTTAAGGTCCGGCGTGTGGAGTTTGCATTTTGGGCTAGGCCCAAAGATCGGCAGGCGTGTATGCCCCCACAGTGTAAAGCAGGGGACTAAAACTATTGGATCAGGGTTTCGTGGTAAATTCCTACTACAGCTAAATGGAACATGGGCTTCTACCTGAAACAATATGCACCCCTTTATATCATGTATTCTCCAGGGGCCTAATTTGTGGTAGAACTGCAAACACTACAGGATGCGTTCGTCAGGATTTTTTTGGAAGCAACAGAGCTACATGGAGATTGCTGAGAAGGGGAAGAGATATACAGGACCTCAAACCCTCAACTTTACCAGAAGGAACTCATGAGGGTCCCTCGGAAAGATTGCATAGGGATTTTCCAGAAAGAAAGAGTTGTGTTTTTTTTTCGTTTTTCTTTCGGGTGGCTTGTCCAATCCGGGTACAAGGTTGCAGGGTTTAGTCGCTGCACCAAATTTCTGAACCAAAACCTCATAGAGGCATCTATTGAAGTTCTCTTCCTATCTAGAAGATGAAGAGTTTATCTACAGTAGAATTTAGCGTCGGTTATCCTGAAGCCACTTATTCCGCTTCTGGGGTGGAAGAGCCGATATAATCTACTCTACATTCCACTGCAGTTATTATCCATGACAAGAGGTATTCTAATAAGGTGCCCTAAACCACAAACCCCAAAACCCTTCAAACCTAAACCCTAAGCCCCCTACACCCCTCTAAGTCCCCTAAACCCTAAACCCTAAACCCCAAGAGCAGGCCTTTGGCGATGTGTTGCGTGTTGCTGGCAGTTCCGTGAAGCCGGGATCAAGGCTGATGCTGTCAGAGCCAGGAGTTTAGGATTTAGGGTTTAGGGTTGAGAGTTTAAGGTCTTGGAGCTTTCGGAGAAGGTTCTAAAACTCTAAATCCCTAAACCCTAAACCCTAAAGCCCTAAACCATAAATTTTAGGATTTAGGGATTTCAGGTCAGAGTTTAGGCTTTAGGCCCTCAGGATTTGGGATTAGGGTTCAGGGTTTGGGGTTTAGGGTTTAGGGTTCGGTGCCAAGGGCTTCAGGGTTTAGTGCTTGGGGAGGTGGACTTTAGGGTTTACGGTTTTGGGGTTAGGGTTACCAAAACGGGGAGTGCAGTCTGCAGCATTTGAGTTGTATACAGGGAAGTGTTATAGGGGTCTCTGTTTTGGGATATTGGAAATTGAGACTATGGTTCATGTTACAAAGTAGGGAGGAGCAGCAAAGAGAGCCATCCGTCAGAGATCCTTACAACCTAAACCCTGAACTCTACACCCTCCAAACCCTAAAACTTTAACCCTATACACCCTAAAACCCTCCAAACCCTAAAACCTTAACCCTGAAACCTGAATGCGGGGCATTTCCCCCTAAACCCTAAACCCAAAACCCCTAAACCCTAAACTACTAGACCCCAACATAAAATGTCATCCGACCGCCCTCTGGTTTAGAAGGCATTTGCGTTTCTAGAGCTGCTTCTGTGTTTGGGATTTGGGATATGGCCCTCAAGTCCTACCTAAACCCCAAAAGTATGTAAAATGATGGCCTTCAGGGCTATTATTATGGGTTAAGGGCCATTATTCTACATATTTTGGGTGTTTAGGTAAGCCCTAGAAGTTCTGGGATTGGGATATGGGGTTGATGTGGCTTCGTGGTTCGATGTTTAAGGATCTGCGGTTATAATGGTTTGGGACAACGCAGGGTCAGGGTTGAAGCTTCGGTTTATGGGGTTTAGGCTTGGTTTAGTATGCTGCGTTTGAAAACCCTAAACCCTAAACCCTAAAAGCCCTAAACCGCTTATAGATTTTGAGGGTAGAGGCTTCAGGGTGGCCTTTTTGCTGGTGTAGGGTCTATCGGGTGCAGGATCGAGGGTTTGAGCATGTCAAGCAGAATAAATCCCAGGATTAACCTTCGCACAAGTAGATTCGAGGCCCGTGATAAACATCTGGGAGGACTGTATAGTCCCCAAAGTCTAAACCCTAAACCCCCCGTTTTCGTGGGTCCCTCTTATGGAGCCCACGTTAGTCGGAGTTCTGAAGACCTTGTTATCCTGCATCATTCCGTGCTTGACGAACACAACCAATGGTCGTTTAGGCTTTAGGGTTTTAGTTTCCATTGTAGTTGTGGTGTTGGTTATCGCTACTGTAGCTGAAATCAGTCGTAGCCGTTGTTGACGCTGAGCACCAACCGTAAACGGTGCTGTGCGTCTACTACTAGCTATGGGTGCTTTTGTTGACAGCCTGAGTAGATGTTCAAATGAGGCATAAAGTTTGGGTTGTGAGGTTCACGCACACCCTACACTCACATGAAACCCTGAACGCTTCACCATGAACCCTAAACCCTACACCCTACCCTAAGGCCGATATCCCTACACCCTAAGCCCCAAGCCCTACACCCTGAGCCCTGCTCAGGGCTTCACCGTCTAGCGTTAGACTTTAGGATTTTGGAGGCTAAGGTTTTGGATCTTAATGTGGAGGTCTAAGCGCCTGAGGGTCGACCGTTTAGGGTTTAGGATTTAAGGTTTAGGGCTTAGGGCTTAGGATTTAGGGCTATCCCCAAGGAGGAAAAAGCCGAAGCTCCAGGCAGTAAACCTTAAGCCTTAGCCTTCTAGGCAGCAAACCCCTAACCCTAAAGCCAAAACAGTTCCTTCAAAGACTCTTGGAGGGCCTATATCCTCCTATTCGATTTTGATTTATCTTCAGCGTATTATAGCCCCTAGGAATTATGAAGCAAACTGCAATTTATTATAGGCGTATAGGTCTACGGGGATTGCAGTATGAATGGTTTGTCAAAGGTATGGATCCTTTCTGGGCTACCTGATGGAAATAGAAGCCGTACCCGGTTGAGTCCCAATTATAAACAAGGTACCGCAGTCTTGACAAGCCGGCATAATTCAAAGGAGTACCCGCCATCACCAAGATTTGGAAACCACCCGAAAGCACTAAGCCCAAAAGCCCTCTGACTGTAGGTTCCGCAACCCTAAACCCCAACACCTTGAATCCCTACACCCGAAATCCAAAAATCCTGAGCCCCAAGCTGGGTTGCTGTTAAGGAACTTAGTTTAAGTTACTATATTGGGGAAACTGTATTAATTATATATACACCCATCATATGCTAGCTTAATCTAAGTTCCTTAACAGCAACACAAAATCTTCAACCCTAAACCCTAAAGCCACCCTCCATAGGCACAAGTTATCTTTCCGTGCCGGCATCCTCTTCTTCACAGCAGACAAGATGGGCAACACGCGCCTCGACAGGACTCGGAAGGAACTTGGTAGTTTCCCAAAATATGGGGACCCCAATATAGACCCCAATACATATATTACAGCCCTTACTATTGGGAATCCCAAAAAAGATACACCCCTAATTTGGGAAACCCCGATTTCTGGCGTTTCGAGTCTAGTTTAGGGTCTAGGGCATAGTGTTTACAGTTTAGGGCTTACGTGTTAGGGTCTCGGGTTTAGGGTTTAGAGTAAACGGATTATGTTTTCAAGGGATTCAAAAAAGCGACTCCAAAAGGGGATTCAACAAATTGACACCCTCCTGACAGTAAAGGGGATCGTGCATGTATACTGATTATGTCGGGCTCTTTTCGAAGACCTGCAAAACCAGGCTGGAAACCAAGCAAAGGTTTGGGGTTCTGGGTTTAGGTGTTTAGGGGTTTCCTTGGATCACGGGGACTTAGTAAGTAGGTTAGTAACCCCCATAACCCATAGTATAACCATGGTTATCCCCATATTAACCTGCTTATAAGTCCCCCGGACCCTCCAAGTAGCCTCCCCCAGACTAACATGGGCACCCCTTTAGACCGTGTTTGGGCGAAGGTATGTCCTAGACCGTTCCAAAAGGGGGAGTTGTTTACACAAGCCCTGTGCACCCGATTTAGGGTTCAGGGTTTAGGGTGTGTGTATATATATATATACATATCTATATACACGCACACACAAACTCCCACCCCACCCCTCCAAACAGGTTGTAGCCCTCATATTCGACATCACATCCTCTTCTGCTGAACTCTCTAAACCTTAAGCCCTAAATCCTAAACCCCAAAACCTTTCACCTTAAATCCTGAACCCCAAACCCTTAACCCCAAGCCCTAAACCCTAAACCCTAAACCCTAAATAGTAGTTTCCATTTTATTTTCCATTATCCCAATATAACCCCAATATAGCCTACCCCCTATGAAAGGTATGGCGTGGTGGCCTCCGAAGATTTCCCGATGGCCCGCGCCTATAGCTTCCTTGAAGATCTTCTGCAGGCTCAAGCTGGGGGTTTGGGGGTTTAGGGGTTTGGGGGTTTAGGGTTTAGGGTCTAGGGTTTAGGGTTTAGGGTTTTAGGGTTTTAGGGTTTAGGGTTTAGGGTTTAGGGTTCTAGGATTATAGTCCCCCTT